TCCTTGAGTGTTTGATATATTTCATTCTACTGTCTTCTTGCTTGCATGGTTGCTGCTGAGAAATCAGCATTTTATCTTATTTGCTTCCCCTTGTAGGTTTCTCTTTGTTTCTCCCTAGCTACTTCCAGAATTCTCTCCTTATCTTTTGTTCTGGTAAATTTGACTATGATATGTCTTGGTGTTTTTCTTTTGAGCTTTATTCTATATGGGATTTGCTTAGATTTTTTAATATATATTCTCTCATTTTTCATTATACTGAGAACAGTTTCTTCTAATAATTCTTCCAAAATTTCTCAGTGCCTTTACCTGCTTCTTCCTGTTTACAGGATTCTGATTATGCACATGTTATTCCTCTTGATGGTGTCCCTTTAAAAAAATTAGCTTTAAAAATTTTGGTTTATTGATGATATTTAAAACCAAAAAGTAACTTTTATCATAAAGTAATTTTTTCTTTTTATTTCATGTGTGTGTGTTTTATTTTAATTGTAAAAAACATGTATGGGGACCCAAGGGGGTGAGGTGTGGGGACAGAAAGGTGTGAATGGGTAGGAATGAAGTCACAGGGTTGCACAATTTGGTGGGTGGAGGGAGTAGGTAAAGGAAATGAGAAATACCCAGCGGGGACCAGAAAGGTAACGGTGGGCATAGTTAAATGGTGATTATTGTTTTTTTAAAACAAAAAGATTGTCTTTTTTTATTTATGGGTTTACCATTTGGATATAGGGGTACAGACTCTCTGACTGCTTCATGCTGAATGGAGACATTGATTGCTATGAAGGAGAAGGGGAGCCCACTTTAATACTTTACTGATGGAGTTAAGTTGAAGCTGCTTCCCTTTTTGTTCAGATTGAAAATATTTTCTTGACATTTTCTGCCCTCTGGACTGCATGATGTCTGCGTGAGGGAGTCCAGTGGGAGTGGCTGGCTGAACTTTGAGGCTCCATACACCTTCAGTTCCTTAGCTGGCAGTTATATTTCCCTTTTATCTCTGGAACCAGGCTTAGGGTTCATGTTCTGGAACAAGACTCAGTGTTCAGGTTATCTATAGGAAAGAGAGCAAACCTACAGAGAACAAATTTGTGAGCTACAAAGAAAAGGGTTTTGGATGTTTTACTTACAGGTGTACTGGAGAAGGAATTGGAGGAAAGTGGTTTAGATAAAGTTCCTCATACGTACAAGGCGGCTCTCCCCAAGAACCTGGTGTTTCTTCCCTGCCAGGTGGTTCTGCCCAGAGGCTGGGCAGCTCTCTGCAGGGGCTGGGTGGCTCTCTCCTGCCAGGTAGCTCTCCCCAGGGGTTGGGTGGCTTTCCCCAGCCAGGTGGCTTGCCTAAGGGGCTGGGTGGCACTCATTAGAGGCCAGGTGGTGCTTCCCACAGGCTTGGAAGCTCCCTCCCCACCCCGACAAAATCTCTGAAGTCCAGACCTTGTGCCCTACCTATGACTGTGGCTAGGGGCACCATTTCTGCCTCTGGTGCCACCATTATTGCCCCTGCCTCTCCACAAAATGGTCTAATTGTAACTTGCAGTAGGTATTATTACTTTCCCTTTCCACAAATGGAGAAGGGGCTTCCAGAGTGAACAGACCCACTCAAGGTTGAAAAGTAAAAGGCAGTAGAACAAGGACTCAAACCACGGTTGTCTAAAGGCAGGCCATGAGGCAGCAAGCTTCCTGCCACGCTCAGATCAGCCATCTTTCGTCTTCCAAGCAAAATCCTGCTGAAGATCATTTTTTAAATGGCCAGAAGTATACACTCAGGCTGCAGGCCACATGCAGGGCATTTCCACTGCCCAAACCGTAAATCCTTGACACAACAATTATTCTGGAAATCTTTGAGATTTATGTAATAGGGAGATGAGAAAATACTGCCATCCTCTGTGTCATATTCCTGTATTTGTTTTATCACTTCTCCTAGAATTGAGATGGTTGTCTCGTTGCTTTTCATTCTCAACTAAATGTTGGAGGGGGGAGGTGTTTGGTCTATTTTTTTATTATGTACATGATTGGTCACTTGTAATGTTAATTATCAGTGAGTCAAAACGCAGTGCCTGATATATTTCCTCATAGAACTTGCCTTTGGTCGCAAAGTAAGGTCTTTTTCAGTTTCTCACTTATATTTAATTTGAAAATTTTCTATTTCTTTGATTAAGCAGTCCCTACAAGGCAGGATATGGAGAGAGCAGAAGGAAGATTAGGCAAAAATCCTCCTGTAAGAAATTAGACTGTGCTCAGTGAGGAAGACATTCAGTACATGGAGCAGAGGCTACAAAATATTTCCAGTCCTGCTGTTGAAACAACATAAATAATATGTGCTGGAAAATACTCAAAATCTAACACAATATGTTTGAAGTTCATTTCTTTAATTAAGCTGGTGCTGTAGTCTGCAGGGATTTGCACTTCTAAAGCAAAAGGGGCTCCTTTCTGGCAGTTCAAATCCACCAGAGGCTGCAGGGGAGAAAGATGGACAGTCTTCTCCCATGTGATTTATAGCCTTGGAAAACCTGCTGGAGATCCAGCTATGAGTCAGTTGTAATTTAATGGCAATAAGTTTTGAGTTTTTCTTTTAAAATCAATGTATTTTCCTCCTCTGAAGTTGTAACTCTCAAAGGCCCACTCTCACTAGAACGTGGATCAATCTGGGTCTTTCTGCTTTAATAGTTGAGGTCGGGAAACATTTCTAGGTTCCCAGCTGTTGCTTGTGTGACCATACTTTGGGACCCTCTATTTGATGCACAAATTGTGCTCTTTAATTTTGACAATAATGATATAGTTGCTGATATAGTTTTCATAGTTTGTCTAAAACCTTTTTGATTTTTGAAATTCTGTGACAACAGTTGCTATTAGTATTTTTAGAGAACTTTGGTGGTGGCTTAATGGTAAGGAGTCATTCTGCCAAACCAAAAGCATGCAGTTTAAATCCACCAGCTGCTCTACAAGAGAAAGATGGGCAGTCTCCTCCCGTGCAACTACTGCCTCTGAAAACCCGCTGGAAGATCAGCACTGATTTAGTTCCAGCATTAATAGGGCGGTCTGGTAAGTAGTTGTACTCCCAACCTAAAGGCATAGTTCAAATCCACCAGCTGTTCCATGAGAGGAAGAGAGACACAGACAGAGAGTGTCTCTTTGAACTGTGATGACATAATGCATAGGGAGTTGCACTCCTAACCCCAAGTTCAAGCTTCTCTGCCAATTCAAATTCACCATGTCTCTGCAGGAGGAAAAGGGGCAATCTCCTTCCATGCAATATATAGCCTCCTTGCCAAAACTGAGGAGGACCTCATGCACTTGCTGCAGAGGGTCAAGGACTGCAGCCTTCAGTATGGATTGAGGCTCAATGTCAAGAAGACAAACATTCTCACCACTGGACCAATTGGTAGCATCAGGATGGATGGCGAAGAGATTGAGATTGTTCACAGCTTCAGTTTCCTCGGCTCCACGGTCAACACTCTTGGCACCAGCAGCCAGGAAATAAAAAAATGTATTGCGATGGGAAAGTCTGCTGTTAGGGACCTCTCTAAAGTACTCAAGAGGAACGGTGTCTCTCTGGAGACTAAGGTGCGCCTGATACATGCCATGGTCTTTGCAGTCACTTGTTATGCATCAGAGAGTTGGACAGTGACTAGGGAGGATAGAAGGAGAATTGATGCCTTTGAGCTGTGGTGCTGGAGAAGAGTATTGAATGCACCATGGACTGCCAAGAAAACAAACAGATTCATCCTGGAGAGGGTTAAACTAGGCTACTCCTTGGAGGCAAGGATTCTGGGGCTTCATCTAACATACTTTGGACATGTTGTAAGGGGAGACAGGTCCTTGGAGAGGGACATCATGCTTGGTAGGATGGAGAGACAGCACAGGAGGGGAAGACCCTCAATGAGATGGATTGATTCGGTGACTGGGATAATCGGGATGGTTGTGTCAGAGGCAGTGCGGTTGGTGCAGTATAGAGCAGGGTTTAGGGCTGTTGCACATAGGGTCGCTATGAGTCTCAAACGACTAGACGGCACATAACAACAACAACAAAAAAAAAACCTTATTGCAGGTCAATTATAGAATCTATTCCAACTCAACAGCAATGGGGTGAAGTTTTTCTCAAAAAGTAAAAAAAGATAGAAACTTGTGATCAGATGGAATTCTGGTTCCATTTTAGCCTCTGGTACATTCTACATATTTCCTACAAAAATAGGGTAATACCTGCCCACCTGGGTCGGAGCCAGGCCCATCTGGGCTGGAAATAGGTAGCCTACTGCTGCCCTTCCTGCTCCTGATGCTTCTACTGCTCTGGTACTGCCAGATACAATACTGTCCCTTCTTTCCCCTGACCGCCACACTGGGCCTCGTGGGCTTCACCCTCCTCCTCAGTCTCCTGGCCTTCGCTATGTACCGCCCGTAGTGCCTACACGGGCCCTTGGCAGTGTTGCCAGCCCCTCTGGACCTCGCTCACCAAAACATAGTGGGAACTGCTGCCTGCCCAGGCCCGCCTCTCCGGCTTGCTTTTTCCCCGCTGTCCTGGAATCGAGGGCTCCAGGGGTCAGTGGAAGCCATTCCCTGTGACCTTCAATGCACAGAAGCCACTCCTGGAGCTGATGGCCCTCAATCCCCACTGACAGTAGACTCCCCAGGGTCAAACAGCTGCTGTCATTGCCTAGGCCTTGGGCAAAATCAGGCCACCCCTCTGGGTCCGTCTTAGTGCACTGCCTGAGGACTTATCCACCTCTAGTCCCTAATACTCCTTGGGCTGACCTGGGGACTCAAGGACTGGGAGACTGGTGGAAGAGAGAGGTGAGAAGGGCACATGGTTGTTCCTTGGAAAACGTACAGATTTTAAAAAACTGTTAAGTTTTTTAAAAAAAAATTAAAAATAGGGTAATACTTGGTTTTAGAATAGTGTGAAAATTAAATAAGTTATGCAAAGTACTTAGCACATCATCTGATATATGCTAGCTATTACTGTTGTTCTTGTCACCTGACTTGACCATCTATGTGTTTTGACTTTTTTTCCATAGGAATGGTTAGATTGGCTGAACTCAAGTCAACAGCTCAGAATTCCAAGCCCATTAAGACTCCTACTACTTTGCCAGATGACATCATCACCCAGAGGGAAGATGCAGAGGGGAGAGTAGAGGAAGAGGAGCAGGAGGAGGGTGCAGAAGAGCAGAATGAGGCTGAGACTGCTGAAACCCAGCCTCGGAGGCGGAAGGTAGCCAAACCTCTGGAGACAGTAACAAGGGTGGAGCCAGAGGAGAAGGCCAGAGCAAAGAGGCAGAAGGACTTTGATTTATCAGAACAGAATGAATCCAGTGATGAGGAGAGCCAGAGAAAAGAGAGACCTCGTGCTGCAGAGGAGCCCTGGACTCAGAATCAACAGAAACTTCTGGAATTAGCATTACAGCAATATCCAAAGGGATCTTCTGACCGCTGGGACAAAATAGCCAAATGTGTCCCATCAAAGAGCAAGGTGGGTGAAGTGGGAATAACAAGAGGCCTCTACACTGGCTTTAAAATACCACTGACAAGGGCTGCAGGCAACACTGCCCTGTTCTTCTTTCATCTTACTATTATCTTTCCATTTACAGCTACCTCTGTGAGCTCCTATTTACCAACTCCTTTCCGGTACATCTCTCTTTGTAGCATGAACAGCCTGTGAATCTAGATTAGTGTGCATAAATGCTTCTAGATATTCATTGAGCAGGCTGCTTCGTCTTTCTCAGGGCTAATTCCATTTGTAGAGCATAGTTTTTACCCACAGTTGACCTGGCCAGCCTCTGGGTGGCTGCCTGAGGGTCACTGGTGCGGATGTCCAGTTTCATGTTCACCATAAATTTAGCCTGAACGACCTGTATGTCAGTAGGACCTTCACCGCTTGAGGAAACTCCCTTTACTTAATGTGGGAAGATTTTTCATAAAATTATAAACCCCTCTAGCTTGGTCTTGCACCAAGGAGCTGTGTTAAGATAGAGGATGTTACCATGAGAACCATCAGTTCTCTAAGTTCATTTTCACTAAGTTGTTGGTTGTTGTTAGATGCCATTGATTCGACTTTTAAGTCATAGAGACCCTGTGAACAAGCAGATCTGAACTTGGCCCTGTGTACGCTATTTCATCAAAGGCGCTGAGATGGTATTAATTGGTGTGGGGTCATGCGAAGTTAGCATTTTGGATTCAACTTACCCTCTGCATCCTTGACAGTTTATGGACTATTTCACATGCCTTTAGCCCTTCCTATTAACCCTCTATCATTGAGTTGACTCATAATGACTCTGGAGACTGCCCAGCCTTTTCTTGTGAAGCAACTAGTGGATCTGAGCATCTGCTCTGTTGGTTAGCAGTGCAGTACATAATGGGTCAGCACCACTAGAGCTCCTTTTATAGCCCTGAGTATCTACTAAAATTCGCCTTCAGATAGTTCTGAAGTAAAAAATTGCAAGAAGGGAAAAATGAGATGCACCTTATGGAAAACCAGCCTCCTACCTCTGATCTTTGGTATTTGGAGCCAGAGAGCTTCAGGAGATGATCAACTCGGGTCTTTATTGACACAGACTCCTAGGGCCCCTTTCCTCAAAGCTTAGTTCTCAAAGTGAGGCACCAGGGACACTAAAAAATCACAATATCCAGTCTTCTCTCCTGTCATCTTCCACTCTAGCCCCTGGGTACATTGATAATAATTTACTCTTTTTAATTGATATTTTGTGTTGGAAAATGCTTGTGGCCATGCATGTCCCAAAATGTATATAGGTCATGTTGTCTGTCACCTACTTTAAAATAATGAAGTTGAGAATTCCTGGAGAGAATTATAAACCACTAACAGTTGTTCTGTTTGGAAAACATTGGTTCTTTCTGTTTCTCCAGCTCTAGTGCCACAAGTTATTATTTTCCCAAAATTCCTCTTGCATCTCTCAGGATACAGGCATGTATGTGCGTGATGGATCGACAATGGTGTGTAGAGTGAAGGGACTGCAACTATGGATTCCTAACCTTAGAACACCTAGAATCTCATTGCCTTAGGCTTTGAGAACCTTCCTGTTGTCAGTCAGCAATGAAAAAGGCTTGTATTATCCTGCAGGTGTTCTCCTTAAGCCATAACTTTGGAACCAGGTCCAAGAGAGGCTGTCTGCTGTCTCACCTGTGTGGGGCCTGGTTGTGGGGTCTGCCGGAAAACCCTGGGCTGAAAGAGGAGCATGCCCCTTAAGAGAAGGGCATTCTTTCCCGTGAGAGACTGCTGTAGAGAACTCACTGTGTCTCCTGCTCATTTTACATGCTAGTGATTGACTGTGTGCACCTTCATGTGCTATGCTGTTAGGAATAGAGTAATTATTAAGGAAAGGCTTGGATTTATATTTCTAATTTTAAACTAGTGCCTCATTCAAAACAGGCAGATGTTAGGTGCCCTGGTGACCAAATGTGTAATGTGTGAGATTGTTAATCAGATCATAGGAAGTTCAACTACACTTCTAGAGGAAGACTGTAATCTCCTCCCATGATGATTGACAACTTCAGAAACCTGATGTAAGGTCGCTGTAAATCAGAATCTACTTAATGACCATGAGCTTGGGTTTGGCCCTCCTCTGTTGTTGTTGTTATGTGCCGTCGAATCGTTTGCGACTCATAGCGACCCTATGTACAACAGCCCTAAACCCTGCTCTATCCTGTGCCAGTCGCACTGCCTCTGACACACCCATACCAATTAGCCCAGTCACTGAAATCAATCCACCTCATAGAGGGTCTTTCCCTCCTTTACTGTCCCTCCACTCTACCCAGCATGATGTCCCTCTCTAAAGATCTGTCTCTCCGTACAACATGTCCAAAGTATGTCAGACGAAGCCCCAGAATCCTTGCCTCCAAGGAGTAGCCTGGTTTAACCCTCTCTAGGATGAATCTCTTT